CTTTACAAACTTATAAATAACTGAGAGGAATGAGTTATGAGAAAATACTTTTTGAAAGGCACTACCCTGCTATTTATGAAATACCAGGCATCTCTCTCTGTTCCTTCTGTGTCGCTCAACCCCGGTGTGTCGATGAAGTTGTAATGACGATTAGCTTTCTTGAAACCATAAGTAGCACACTCACTGGTCTTGCTCTTGGTTGCATCGTAAAGATCTTTCTCGGAGGATTGATACTTCTCTGTCGCCTTATGGTACTTGGTAGGAATAGCGATTCTGGGTTCTTCAGGTGATCCATTATTGAAATAGTTTGTCAGATAGTTGATAAGCGTAGATTTCCCTGAGCCTGTTTCTCCAATTAACAGGATGTTATAAATGGAGGGAAGATGGGATTTCAAGGTAACATCGGGCACCATTTTGTGGGGATAACCCTTACGACGATTGCTGTCTTCTCGCTCTTCTAGCGCCGGCATTAGCCAGTTGTACAGAGAACCTGATATTTTGTTATTGAAAGTTCATTTACAAGAAATGTATGTTACCTATGATTCTCGAAAATATTCCCATACTGAATTCTTCCTGCTGGTTTATTCCGTGTAGAAACTCTGTAAGAAGATTAGCCATTCATGATCACGAATGTAACTTATACGGTTGAATTTCAACAGAGGTGATATGATATAGAAGCAACAACAACGACGACTAACTAGGATCACGAAAACAAAACGAAAACGGAGGATCCATCGACGACTGACCATTGTCAGCGTGAAACACAACAATGAAGTAATTAATTGTTTATTTGTTATTGCGAAACTTAAAAGAAAGAGCCAAGAGGTCACGGGAATACAAGCATCCGATCCAGAGTTATTACGAAATAAAAAAAGAAAAAGTTTCACAATAACAAATAAACAATTAATTACTTCATTGTTGTGTTTCACGCTGACAATGGTTAGTCGTTGATAGATCCTCCGTTTTCGTTTTATTTTCGTGATCCTAGTTAGTCGTCGTTGTTGTTGCTTCTATATCATATCACCTCTGTTGAAATTCAACCGTATAAGTTACATTCGAGATCTTGAATGGCTAATCTTCTTACAGAGTTTCTACACGGAATAAACCAGCAGGAAGAATTCAGTATGGGAATA